TTTTCATAGTTGATGAGAAAGTGTTGTATGGTGAACTAAAGATTGTTACAGTGTAACTTGTAGAAGATGATAGTTTTCGAAGCGTAATAACAGTTCGTTTATTTATGAATAAAACGCGACTATTTATAGAACAAGAAATGATTACTTTGAATTATTCCTATTTCTTGTAATACAATATAGTCTAAGTAAATACTTAAGTGATGTCCTTTCATTCATCACTTGGAAATTTCAATATAAGTAAAACAGAACGAATTAAGATAACGAAAGGAAAATCCCACATGATCATATATGAACAAAAGAAGGAAAATACCAGATAGATAGATCAGGAGCGGATCTAGGATTTTGGAAGGGGGGGGCGATTTTGGCTAAAAGCTATTTTTCGAGTCCAAGCGAAGTAGTGTGAATCTATTTTTTCGTTCATTTTTGCTGCAAAAAAAATTCGGAACGGGGGATCGCCCCCTCCTCCTAAACCCGCCACTGAGATAGATATATGTGAAGAAAAGGAAGAATAGGGAATAAACAATACATATGTTCGCTTATAAAGATGTCTCGTAATTAAATTTTGTTTTGTGTCTAAATCATATTACTCTGTCATAAGTTCTTGTGGATCTTTATTTATAATTCATTTTACAATCATTCTATTCGAAAAATGTATCAATTATATTATCAAGCATTGATGGATTATATCGTAAATATTTATCTGGATTGTGTGTAAAATGTTTATGTGCAAATTTTGTATAAAATATTTGAAATTTATCCAAAATTACGCGTTTACTTTGAGTTCGTAATTGATCACGTAATAGTACATCATCAACAGTATATTCTAAATGCTGTTGACGAAGAGTATCAATAGCGGCATTCACCATGGAAAAACTTGTTTTTAATTGTTCTCGATCATGTTCTCGCAACTAGATAAAGAAACTAGCAATACAAAGACAGAATAGACACAAACGAACTTGAAGGTCAGAAAGATGATGTAGATCATCATAGTCAAACATTTGTTGAATGTTCGTGATCATAGGTGTATAACTAAATATGCACAAGAATATAATTAGATATTACATTTTTTGAATACTATACCATTTCAAATACATTTTGACACTTATTTTTATGATATTACGTAAGTCTGATCGAAGATTTGGTTCATGTTTTTCGATGATAGCTAACAAGGATGGACTGAATAGAAGATAAAATAAATATTTACTCCGATAAAATGTTCTATTTTCTTACTGTTCAAGTCTTTTAAAAAAATAATTGATATTATTTAGAAGAAATATTGCTTGTAGTGTTTTATCGTGATCTGGAATGAGTGTTTTCAATTTATGTGAAATATTCATACGAAGTGATTGAATTAAATTAACTGAAATTAGTATGAAAAGATAATAGAATATAAACAAAAAAATGCAATACTTACCGATATATTCATTTAAGTTAAAAATCGATTTATTTATTGATAATGAAATAGTATCAGTGGCGACTTAATAAATATAATTATTGAATATAAAATATGTAAATAAATATTTTACTTTTTTGTTCTTCGATATTAGTGAATTGAATAGTAGAAATCATAGGTTCATAATCAAAAAGATCTTCTATAAAATCGAATACATGTATTGTTAATGGATGTACACCACCACCTTCACTTAATGCTGATGAATCATTTTTTACATCATATAATATCAAATGAAAACATTCTATAATCTAAAAGTATCTTAAAAATATAATTTGTATCAATCAAAACACTTACTGATTGTTCAAATATCGGCAAGAGTATCCCACTGAATTGATAACGTGAAGATACATCACTTTCCTGTAAGATATAAAATATTACTTTTAAAATCCTATTTTCTTTTTTACTTGATTAATCTACTCACTTGATAGAATTTTGTTAAAGTGGATTCAGATTTGTGAAACCAATTTTTAATTGAAAAAAGACCAAAGAAAGCAAGTTTTCCCGTATCTATTTTACCTGGTAATTGTTTAATTGCTTCGCATAATTGCTGTCCTTCTTCAAGGATATATGTTAATGGTAATTCCATTAATTTCGAAAGTACCATTGTTTTGTATTCATTTTCGAAAACATAAAATAATAAATCTAAATCACGTAACAGAAGAATGATAAATGCATCGAGTAAAAATTTATAATTATTTGTTTCTCGATTGTCAGTAAACGATACTGGAGGTGGTGCATGTTCGACATCAAGAAAATCAAAATGTACATTCATTTTTGGTAGGTGTGATAATGTAGGTTTTGATAATGATTCTCTACGACCAAATACAGGTGAATGTACGAAACGACGTCCTAGTTCACTAATAAAAATTTGTTTCTATCGATAGTGGTTAATCAAAGAAAATAATTAATTTACTTGATTTTTATTTTAACATGTTCTTTTATTGTATCTGTGCTGAGAGAAGAACGACGAGAGGACGAACAAGGATTAACGTTCAGTAGATTAATGGATGCACGACGTACAGATTTTTGTCGTAAATGTTCGGCTAGTCTACAAGATAAGAAGTAATTATGAGTGTCGTAAATATAAACTACATACAATTTAAGAGACTTATGAACCATCATTCCTCTCTTCGTAGCATACGAATCGATAAGACCTAATTGAAATCCTTGTTCTTTAAACCAATCAAAGATAATACGAAATCCACTTAAACCAGACACTATAAAAAGGTGAAATTTTTATAGAAAAAAAAAGATTTTCTAAGTATCCTTACGTTGAATATCGTCAGTATCAATTGGTGTGAATGATATTGATCTGCATAAATCAAGTAATTCTTGAGGTGGTATTGAGTTTGTCGATTTCATGATAAGATCATCACTTTCCTCAATAAGTTTCTGTCGTCCAATATTATATAATTCTGTAACATATTTCTCTTCATCATGAACTGCGAGACTTTTGAAATATTTTAGCATATCATTAAGATCATCTAATTCAATAAGATAATCAATGAGATGATCGCTGGGACCAGCAGTTATTATTGAAAATAATATATTTCGCATTTTATAATAGCGAAAAGTAGAATTTATAGCAGAACTATTCGATTCTATACAAGCTGCTAGACGTCGTAAATGTTTGTTTTCTTTATTAATTCTATGAATAAGCTTCATTACAGATTGAACTTCTTGTTCAGTATTGTCTGGTTCTATTATAATTTGATTGATTAGTGAATTTGACTCACATTGTTCCTATTCAAACATCGATATCAATTAATTATGGTACAAAATTTTTAGAAATAAAGGTTTAATTGTATTTACCTGTGACCAGTGAGGTTTTAAAGTCTGTCCATCATTTATTTGATTGATGTCAGTCATAAAAATACTTATTCAATTATAATCTAAAACAGTCTATTAAAGATTAATGGAACTTAACATATTTGTAACTACAATTTGCTGGCAAAGAATCGCTACAACTAATTTATTCACTTATATGTTAATATTCTGTTACTTGAAAATAAAATAATTCATAATGATTCTTTATAATATTATACTAAAATATAAAGGCAAAATATTGGTTCTGTGTACATAAAAGAAAAATATTTTAAGCGAAAACATAAGAATTACGCCCAGCAGCAGTATAAACACTACAATTTATGGTTCTGTTTCGTTCCATGTCTTTTGTAGACTCTTGAAATAAATAATACTGTATGCATTGGTTTATATATATTATTATTATATATTAAACAACGCATAAATTCTAAATACGAACGTTTAACCTCATGTAGTTATACTAAGCCATTATTGCGATAAAAACAAATATAGTAGTTAATAATCAGCTAGTTATGATAACTATATCAGTTGTTCATAGTCATAGTTTATTATCTACATTTTCGTTATCACGCATACATCCTTCTTCGATATAATAGTAGTAACTATAAAACAAAAAAAAGTAAAATTACTAAAAAAGATATGCTTCGGATAGACCATATTTGTATTTGATAAATAATGCTGTACGAATATATAGGATTAAGGTTTTCGTTGTTAATATTGACTATTACGATTATATGGATGATGAGATATTAACAAAGCTGGAAAGTAAATATTATTCTTTTTACGATCGATTTAACTATTCTTTACTTTTCAATTCTACACGTACCACAAATATAAATATCATTCATCTTTTACACCAAATAACCTATTCCTTCCATGAAGGCAATTTCGAAATACTCCATGTATCTGTTAATCGTCACACATGATTCTATGCATTATTTTGTATCAATGTTTATTCGATTTCTGAAATCTATTCTATTGGTAAGAGTTAATCTTACTAATATGAATACATTCTATTGTTGCTTTTATTCAGTATAGTTATAATTGTGATTCCTAAATACTGTAATGAAATTAGTAAACATCAGTTATTGCCAACAATGAATGTAGTTGTTTGTATTTCATATAATATTTGTTTATCGCTTCTTTCTTCTCAGTAGCACACAGAGTTAAATATTAGGACTCAAAGGATATATACGAAAGAAGTACATATAACTATGATACAGCATTTTGTTGGTAGCAGCGTTTGAATGATTTATTAACATTTAGATCAATGAATATGTAATCTTATTCAATCAAATTGAAAGACAAAGAGTTATATAATTCCCACAATAGATTATTTATCATAAAGTTCGAAATATTTTCTCCCTCTTTGAGTAATTATCAACTTTCTAATTAGAATTTTTCATACAGAATCAATCGATCCGCCATGGTACACTTTCATATACCTCTAGAATGATGTGTATGCTTTTTTTCTAACAGTGCTTACATTTCATTTCATCATTACATATTTTACTTCGGGTCGTAAGCTAAAAATGAAATTTCATTATTTCCAATCGGTTTATAGAAATATACTAAAGATTGCATCATGATATGTCGCAATAGTAACGCATGACTCAGGATAATTGTTTTTCTTACGCTTACCTTTAGGGAAATTTCGAAATATGATTTTTAAACTAGAGTATAAAAGACAATTTTTTAACGAACAAGAACATTCAAATCGAACATGTCTTCAACAGATACAACAGACCGATCTATAGCACCCGATCGGGAAGCTCTTAGTTTAATGACAAAATTAAAATTAGATCGATTCAAATTACGAAAAATAAAATTCGTAGAAGAGTATACTCAAATTATGGCACGAATTAATGATTCTACGATGTCATCTTTCGACAAAGTTCAACTTGTAAGCAAAAGTATAGAAAATTTATTTGGTGAAGATGGTAAAACACGATATTTAAAAAATTTGGAAACTATATTAACTATATCTAAAGCAAATACATCAACAACAAATGATTTTCTTGAAAATTTTTTTCAAAATCTAATGAAAACTATTGAAGGTGGTAAACGCCGTTCAGAATATAATTATCTATTTGGTTTAATTATGTCACAATGGCTTTCAAATCAACAAGATGAGTTTACACCGATAGAAGTAACATCAAATGATGAAAGTTTATTAACAAATGAACAATTAAAAGTAATTATTTTCAATAAACCGCAATTAGATTTAGATAAATGGCGTTATTTTCTTGAAAATAATCTTTTATCATCATCAGTTGATAAAAATCTTAAATCAAAAAAAGCTTTTGAAAAGTTAAAATTAGCAACAGAAAAATTTAGTAAATCATTATTGATGGAAAAGGTATCATCAGCGGATGTACAACGAGCTATTGATGGAGTTATTAACGGAGGTTCATTAGATGATTATCGCAAAAGACTTCTCATGAAAATGCGATTAGAAAAAAATACCGTAGATGAATTTGCTTCATCATTGAATTTGATGATAGCTGATTTAGCTGAATGGAATTGGCCTATAGAAGGTGTTCGTGGTGTATTTCGACGAAATCTAGTTGGAAAATATCGATGTTACTATGAAGAAAATTTTCTTACTGCTATTTTTCTTGAACATATTGGCTTAAAATGGAGTTATCATTTTAAGGAAGAATTGGAATTAATCTTTGATTTTTTAACTGAAAAAATCCAAAAGAATTGTTCATCAAATTCAATTCAAGATGAACGTATTAATATGCAAAAAAATGAATATTGGATGAGTGCATTACCAGATGAATCACATCTTGAATTTGGAATGGCTTCATATGCAAATGTAGATTCAGGAATAGCTTCATATGCAAATATAGATTCAGTTGATTTAAAAGCTAAATTATTGTATTTAATCAATGTCGAAATTCAATTACATCAAGTTTTACATCCAGATACATCATTTACTGTCGTATCTGCTGATCTAGAATGGTTTGGACCATCAATTCCACATGAAATAATACTAATATTCCTTGAGTTTTGTGGAGTATCACAAATTTGGTTAAATTTTTTCGATCGTTTTCTCAAACAACCAATTTATTATAAACCCGGTGAATCTATTCGTCAACGTCAACGCGGTGTACCTATTGCACATTCGATATCGTTTTTATTTTCGGAATTAATGTTATCGGGTATGGATCTTTATGTTTATCAAAATACTAGCATTTTTAATTATCGTTTTCATGATGATTTTTGGTTTTTTGATTCTCAATCGGATAAAATTACACAAGCGTGGTCATTAATGAATGAATATGCACAAATAACTGGATTAAAATTTAACGAAGAAAAATGCGGTTCAGTACAAATTCTACCATCGAATATAACTAATCAAACTGATACATTATTGCCTCATCGAAATGTCAAATGGGGTTTACTTACTCTACAATCAACTGGTCGTTTTGTTATTCAGCGAGAAACTATTATCCCATTTCTTGATGAAATGAAAGTACGATTAACAAATGCATTAACTATTATTGAATGGATTAATTTATACAATCAATATATTGCATTTTTCATGCGTAATTTTGGTAAATGTGCTAATATTCTTGGAACATATCATACTAAGCAAATGATCGAAACATTTCAATTTATTCATCAATATGTTTTTTCTGAAACTAATGGTAATGTTTTAACAATTCTTATGAATTGCATAGCAAAACAATTTCCAGATTGTATGATGAATGAACTATGTGAAGCTTGGTTTTATTGGCCAATTATTCATGGTGGATTAAATTTGAAAAATATTTATTTAGATTTATACAGTATTCACAATCAATTACTGAACAAAAAAATGACTACTTTTAATCAATTACCAGAACGTGATACTGAAAAATATGCTGAAATTATGGAAAAATATGAACGAGGAAAAATTCATCGAAAAGATAAATCTCTTAAGAAATATCTTCATGATGATGAAACCCTGATAAGTTTTGATGAATTTATACAACGTCGTGAAACTCGTATTTCATATTGGAATGATGTTTATAAAGAAATGCTAAATATAACTCCATCATTATCACCTATTATGACAGATCATCATGAAGATCATATACAATTCTTACAAAAAACAATGACAAAAATATCATCTGCTAAAAGATATTATGCAGGAACGAATTATTACTTGAAATGGTTAGTTTACTTTTATAGTCAACAGATTGAATCGACTTTTAATCAACTCGATTTTATTGATCCTGAAAATGTACCTGTCGGATTAATTTCATTGATGCAAACTACAAAAATTAATTGGAATAAAGAATAAAACAAAGATTAGCTATATAGTATCAATAATTAGACTTTCATATCATTAAATTTTTTTTGTAAATTTTGAGTATCAATTATTTACAATAAAGCAGTATTTTAATATAAATATTGACTTACTAATTTAACCCTCCAGCGGTGTTTGTGGGTCTAAGAGGCCCGCAGTAGTGTTTTTTTGTTATTTTCTGCTTTAAAATCTATGCAATTCGAAGCGATCTTTTCGCTAGTCGTTAGTCTTCTAATGATACATAAGAACCATATAAAATTTCTTATAAAACTATCAGCAGTCAAAAACTAGGGTGTAGGTTCGTTTGGACCCCCTGGCAACATTCGTGTTATATAGATGATTTTAATTCGTATCACGTACGCCCTCTATTGTTTCGAAAGTCTATCTATTGAAGATTGATTAGTTTGTTGCTGCCAGTAAGGAATAATATGTTTCTCTATCCTTATTTATCTATCAAAATATTTTCACCATCCTCTTAACTTTTACTCACGACAAGCGTAATTCTTTTTTTTTCTTGAAAAATCAGCATGTTACGTATACTACAAGCGTATCAATGCATCAGTGACTGAAAAGAGATCATGATATAGACCTTGATCTATCTTATATAGTACAATACAGATGAATTTTCATGTTTTCCTTATGTATTTACGTGTGGGTCCACTTGGACCCACATACATCGTTCGTGTGACAAAATGAGAACACCTCCGAAGGGTTAAACGCTAACCTACATATAGAACTAATCGTGCCACTATGTTCTTCGGAAGGTGTATAGAGATAACTTTTTTTCTTTGATCTTGCAGTCATATAGAACTAAGCAATTACATTGTATAGTTTAGTTCAAAACATCGATATTATTCCATATATTGATTATAAGAGATAAAATTAAGAACAGAAGAAAAAAGTTTAACAACTACGTATAATAATAGAGACCTAGACTATAAATATATGCAATCAAATTTCATGTTGAGTAAATTCTTTTAAAGCTTTTTCTGATAACATTTTTCGATCTATTTTACCAATAATATTTTTTGGTAAAACATCTAATATTCGAATATATAATGGTATTTTGAATTCAGCTACTCTTTCTTTTAAATAAGAAAATAAATATTCTTCATCTTCAACAATATTGATCGAATGAGATGAATGAAATGTTACATATATAACTGGTTTTTCTGATTCCATATATGGTATACTTGTAGCACAAACTTCATAAACATCATTACATTCACGTATTGTTTCTTCTAATTCCAATAAATTAATATTACATCCATTACATATAATAATTTGTTTTAAACGTCCAACAACATTTAAAATATCATCTGATTCTAAATATCCTATATCACCAGTTTTCATCCAACCATTTTTTATTATTTTTTGTGTAGTTTCTTGATCATTTACATAACCAGTCATTATTGTATCTGAATATATTGTTATTTCACCAGATGTATTATAAGGCATATCTTCCCAATTATCATTTGTTATTCGAAATTTTATTGTTTCATTTAATGGTTTAAATCGTCCGCATATAGGTGGATAATCAGCTGAAATAGCAACAGGACCACTTGTTTCTGTCATTCCATATGTTTCATGAGGATAGATGCCTAAGTATTTTCTTGATTTTTCCGAACTTAATTTAGAAAATTTTTCACCACCAACAAAACAAATTCGTAAAAAGTTTTTTCTATATTGTTTTTCAGTACATTGTTCTATTTCTTCAATAAGATTACGTAATAGGGATGATATACAGGCAAAACAAGTTATTTTTTGTTCATATAAAATAGGTGGAATCATTTTCATATATTGTTTAGAAGATAAATTAGTTGATAAATAATAAAATGTTGAACCATATCGTACAGCTAGAAGTATACCTAAATTTAATCCACTTAGACTATTAATTGGACTTATTAATAAAAATTTATCATTGTAATTAAATTGAAATGTTTTATATGTTTCTATATATGAGAAATGTTGTTTATGATTTGATTGTACACATTTGGATCTGCCAGTAGAACCAGATGTTAAATATACGATTGCTTCTTGTTCACCAGAAATTTCTTCTATTGAATTTTTGTTTTGATAAGTTTTATCGAAAAGATCTGTAAATGGTAATATATTTGAATTCTCATTATATAAACAATCAATTAAATAATAATAATCTTTTAATGAAGAAAATTCTTTACCCAATTGTTGAATATTTTTATATAATTCTAATTGTGTAATTAATAGTTTTGGTTGAGTATTTTCAATTAATAATCGAATTTCGAAATCACGAAATGATGGATGTATAATAACAACAGATACACCGATTTTAAAACATGCAAAATATAAATATATACCTTCTGGACAATTAAGTAGATACGATGCTATTCTATCACCTTTTTTCAAACCTTTTTGTAATAAACCATTACTTAAGATTGTAACTTTTTCATCTAATTCAATATATGTACATTTATAATTATCCGAATAAAATACAATTGCATCAGGAGAAATATTTACTGATTGTTTTAAACATGAATAAAGCATATTGTTATCAAATCAAATTTAATAGAGCTTAAAATATTGACCAAACGTAAATGAATGAAAAAAAAGAACGAGAGGTGTGTAATGATAAGTTGGAAGAGTATTGTTATCATGACTTGCACTTTGTAATATATGTGAGAGAGAGAGATAAAAAGAGCACTGAGAAAGAGTGAAGTAATCAATTATAAAAATGGATAAGAGAATAAAAGCGAAATAGATAAAAGTGTGATAGCTTATTATCCAATTTGTTCAGTAAGAAAGTTTCAAGTAGGGAATAGATACGATGGTGTACATTAATGTCGATAAGTGAACGAAAGAAATATGTTTTTGTTATAGTTTAAAATCATATATGTTGACTATAGATACACTGTTTAAAAAATACTAAACTAATTTATTTTTGTTAATCTGTCAGATCTATTATTATGCTTATCTTCAATAGTTTTTTTTGGAACGTTATACTATTTTCCAGGACAGAGAATAATTAAATAACGAAGATTCATCAACAACAATGAAATTAAGAAGCATCTTATATAAAGATGTGTTATCATTTCTATAATAAGTTCTACTGACAAATTACAACTTATTTTGAATAAATACTGAAATCCTTGTAAAATTTATTTGATTCATTAATGAGTATTTGAAAAAAGATCAACTACATTGTACTGTTTATTGCTGATAGTGAGATGATGATGATAATTCTTCTTACTATATTTCCATAGAAAATTGATCAGTTGTTGAGTCGATTATTACTGTAAAAGTACTAGTGAAATCAATTTTTTAAATTTTTCTTTATTGATTATTATACTTGAGAAAGTGGAATAACAATTAAAGGTATTAGATTCAGTACTTTATATTGTCTCCAACATAACAGATAGTTCATAAAAATCGGAAAGTATGTTGATCTTTACTAGTCATGTTATTGAGTAGTACGAGAACTTTTGTACTCTATTATTATATGTGTCTGCAACGTACAAATTGAATTGACTGTCCAGTATCATGGAATAAGGAGTATGAAGCAGAGTAGGAAGCGTACCAGACAAGCCAGTGCGCCCGGCTATAGTTGTGCCATTAGATTGACCAGCGAGATAAAACTGTATGCGATGATTGGCTGAATCCGCTACATATATATTCCCATAGCGATCTAATGTTACACCTACAGGCTGATTTAGTAGTATCGATGAACTGCCACTTGTTCCAACAGTACTACCAGCAAGAATTGTCCAATTACTTGCACCTATCACCCAATGAACAACATTATGATTATGATAATTGGCAATTATTAAACTATTTGTGGATGAATCAAAAGTAAATCCGTATGGAGAATATAATTGATTTAAACCAGTTCCTGCTCCATTTCCACCAGCTACGACAGTGCCTGAGGAAGCATTTGATAGATATCTCATTATCCTATGATTATTAACGTCTGAAATATACAAAGTGCCTGTGCTTGGATCGCGTTCAATTACATTGGGCTCATTGAATTGATTATTCGCGTTTCCAGTAGACCCTGAAAATAATTTGAATAGAATGATGTTTAATGAAAGGATCTCAGTGAGAATGCGATTATGAGCTTGAGTGACTGTATGTATGTTGATAAAAAATAAAGATCTACACCCACATCCATTTGTAAAAGTACCTTACATTTGAAGTTCTATACTACATAAAAAAGTGATAGCGTTAAAGAAATGTTTTCTATTATTCATTTTTATACTTTCATAAACAAATCTTTATTTACTCATCAGAAGATGCATATATTACAAATAATATATTTTTCTTCTTTTTTGTCAATTATTTTTTAACGTGCTAAGATCTATCAGACCTGATCAAATAACTATACTAAATGCTACAAAAAGGCAATCTTCGTATATATATTACCTGTTCCAGCAATGAGTGAACCAGATGATGCACCACTTTGCCAATACATAATCCTATTATTACCTTTGTCTGATACGTACATATTATCAAGTGAATCGAGTACAAAACCGACTGGTAACTTCAGAGTATTAGATGATGAACCTGATACTCCGCTTGCTAGGCCTGCAACTGTTGTACCATTTGAACTGCCTATGATCCATTTTTGAATCCTATTATTGATGGTATCAGAAATATAAAGAGCATTTGATGAATCGAATCTCAATATATAAGGTTCGCTCAGTTGACTTGCTGTTGCGTTCGGTATGCCTGTCGCACTACCCGCTACAGTGTTGCCTGTAGAATTCCATTGAAATGTAAAAGCAGTGGCTATAAAAGAAAGTGTTCAGAATATATAAGTATAGAAGGATGTGAATGTGTAAGATGATGTTAATATCTGCAGGCTTATTCTAAGTCACCTTACACCTTGAAATCAAGCAAGAATTGAGAAAGCTTAATGCTAGCGAGTCAAATAGTAAATGAATTCAAGGTGTTTACAGACAAGAAACATTCTCTAAAGTTACTTACCTGTACAGATAAGATTGGATATTCGAACTAACTATTGATTAGAAAACTACTAAAAATCAACTGGCATATTACTAACTGGTTGTTGACGTTGATGTTGTCGACGATGATGTTGTTGACGTTGATGTTGTCGACGATGATGTTGTTGACGATGATGTCGTTGACGTTGACGTTGTTGACGATGATGTCGTTGACGTTGACGTTAACATTGATGTTGTTGTTGATGGTTCGGGTGGAAAAGTTGTAAAGCGAAAAGATCCATTAGTGATTTTTGCCCAATGAAAATCACTCGCTGAATAATTGGTTATCAATTGACATGTATTATTACTAGTCACACAGTTCCATCCAACTGCACCAACTGTTAAAGCTGCACATGTACATTCAGTGCATGTCATATTTAAAAATATTTTGTTAATATCTGCTGTGACCAAGATTATATTCGAAATTATTCCAACTTGAATCGAGAAGACAGCGTTGGAAACGAGCAATAATACTAATAGCATACGGCTATTGAAAGAGAAGTATGATAAATCGACAAAAACCATTATGAGATCGGTTCCTTCGCTCTGTATGTTATCGTATTGTATGAAAAGAATTATATCTGAAAAACAAACTTAGCGAAATGTTTCGATTGTTTATATTTATTATTAGACATTTCAAAATATAAAATCTGTACTTGTTGTTACTGACGAAACTGCTGCTGCAAAAAATAAACAATAAGTTGGATGAATATACGAGTTAAACTTACAATAAAAGATTAGAAAATTTTGAACTGAATTATTAGATGTATCGATAAAAAATATTGAGAACAAGAACTATATCTATGTTTAATTGTAATACGTTTGCGGTAGTTGCTCGATCACTCCTAGACTAAAAGTTCACTAGCGTCTAACTTTGACTCATTTACAATTAAAATGTCATATATAATTGCGACCTAAAAATCAAAAACAGAGAATATGAGTTAATTCATACAGATCAAGTCAAATAAAGAATCAGTGTGAGAACATTATGATAAAAATACTAACCTTCACTAATACTTCTCTACAACAAAGAAAAAAAATTAAAAACCAGTTTAGACAATTTTTTTATATTACCATAGATAATAAAAAGACTTTTCAAGCGTAATAGAGTGAATACTATTGTAGATTAAAAAAAATAATATCTTAAAAAAGATTACATAAAAATTGTTAAAAGAAAGCAATCTATGCTGACAATAGAAACTGTCTTCATGCTCATTTATAGCAATTTTTCTACCAAGTTTTGAGTTCTAATTACATCTACACCCTTTCTTTCTTTCAAAAATTTATGGTGTGAATACATAGCAGCTTCCAACTTAGACGAGTAATAAATGAAAAATATTCACTTTTGCAGCGTTTTCTAATTATTTGAGCACTTATATTTATGAAACAATGCCGTATGGATACTGAGAGAAAATAAAACCTGTAACAATCTTAATTGACTATGGAACCGTGTCTTTACTTCTATTGTGTTTTGTTTCTTTCTTTCTCTATTTCCAACACGGTTAGTATACATAGAAACACAACAAATGTAAAAGAATGAGCGAAGAAAAAGAATTCACTTGATTAACATAAAAAATGTTGAATATCAAACATTTTTATTTACAATACTATTTAGTTGTGATTGGGATAAGAACTATATTTAATTACACTGAGATTTGACCAAAGACTAATGAATATATATCTAAAGAATAAGTCGATTTAACGAAATTTTCTTAAAAATAAGTGTCTTGAAATGTTTTTTTATGTATTTATTATTCTTATACACGCTTTTGCATTGTAAACACTTGAGAAAAAGTAATTCATCGAAGTCATTCGAATGACGTTGATCTAATGTAAAATCCAACATTATTTACGACTGGTATTTCAAAAGAAATCGAAGATCAGTAAGAAATATATATATATCAAAACATGATTTCGTTAACTATTTTCTTTGAAAGTTACAAAAGAAATAGCTTTTTAAAAGATGGATTTCGTTGCAAATAAATGTCTTTTGAAAACATATTGTTCCTCTCAAATCAAGTAACATCATTCATTTCTTTTGACTATCAAAACATAAAAGAATTTATGAATGAGCATATTATTATTTTCAAACTTATTTACAGTAAAATCTAGTAAAGATCCTCTTGTATTGATGTGACACATTTTAACAACAATCCAATTATTTTATTTAAAACAATCTTGCTTTTTTTGCTGTAAACATTTTGTATTACACTAGAGTAACATTGATATGACTTCAAATAATATAAACAATAAACTTTTTTACTAAATGAAATTCCAACACAAACGGGATTTAGGAGTATAACTTGTCATTCAAAAAGTGAGAATACAGCACGTTTTGCGTAGATAGATATTTCCTCAGATAGATAATTAATCATAAAAATATAAAATTCTGAGAAATTTTATTAATCAGTTAAAGAAAAATCATCTTGAGCGTGTAGATCTATGAATGTGTCAAGTGAAGGCACCGACACTCACACAATACCTACTTACATCCTCAAGATGTTTGATACGTTTATTTGACTGAAGATTTATTATTGAAAGGAAACGTAAAAGAAAGAGCTTCTGATAATTCTCACACTAAGACCCATAGCAACACCCAAACTCACACCGAGGTAATAGAAGTCCTTTATTAAGAAGAAAGTTGAGTAGTCGAGGTATCCAATCTGACGTCGTAATAATCCCCATTTGCTTTTTCTTCATCAATAAAAATTTCAATAATTTATCTATAATGTTAAAAAAAACTGGTTCTCTATGTTTTGCCAATAGTTTAATTATGCAAATGAAGTTTAAAGAAGATATCTCCTAAGACATCCTGTACAATAGCCATCGCAAATGGTGCATTAACTTTGAATAAGCATCTTTTTACTACAATTCTATCGAGAATGAAATAATTCGTAATCTGGAGACAAACAAGTCATATATAGGTTTGTATGATCCATAAGAGTGTGGATGTGGCTATGACTAGTTGTTATCTTTCATTCATACCCACACGTTCACCCTTACTCAACTATGACGTACAGTATTGTTCGCTTTCTTCGATTCATGTATTAGATTGTAATTTTTGGCTAGAGATATTTGTAACAAACTGATAATCAACATGATGTTGTTTCATGCAACCTATAGAACACATAAAAATCAAATAACGCTTTCTTGTTTCATTTTTGTACTATACCTTCACTTGATTTTCCCGTGAAATAATTAGATATAATGTTAAGAACAAGTAAAATCAAAGAATGTTTTAATCACACTCTATTCAATCAAGTTAAAGAACAAAATATTTTTCTCTATTATATATTAGCTTCCCATTAATACATTAGTTCTACTGGTTACTACGATGCTACTATCGACATTACGTTTCTGCTTTTTCCTTCTTCAAACAAGTAATTTCATCACTATGAAAAATCTATGGCACATCACAAGTATAAACATACTTAAAACGAAAGAAGCAAAGCAAATAACACACTTCATTCCACCAACATAAAACACCACACAAGGCCACCACAATAATTCTCATCAATGTCGACTAAAATGCCTCTTACTATTCTTACATTACCGGTAGAAATTGTCTATCGAATTCTGGATTATCAGAATGATCTGACAATGCTGTCTTCAATGCGAAATGTTTGTCAACGATTTGATACAATCGTTGATAGCTACTATCGATATCAGGTAAACCTTTTTTAATCATGATTGACTATCTTTCTTCTGTCTTCGAATCATTTCT